AAGTTCACTGTGAAGGGAATTTGTCGAAAGGAATTATATTCTGATCGGAAAAACGAACGTTCGAATCCGTGTGATCGTCCGTTTTGGCGCGGTTTCGTGATAATCTTATCTAAAATATATAAACGTAACGGTATTACCCACATAGATTCTTTTACCCATCTACATACACACTTTTACACACACTCATTCTTTTATCAGACAGGAAATAATTAGAAAGAAACAATCTGATAGCAGTAATTTCACTTAATCATCCCGACACCTAGAGCAGCGACTGCGACAGAATTTCCCCGTCAGCATTTAAATCCTTTACAACAATGGTGTCATTTATCTGAAGTCGAGGCCAGAGCCACCTCGCTCCCTTGCCCTCCTTCCTCCTTCCGAACGCGCCGGGCTTTTCTCTCCGCGGGGGGGGGGGGGGGGGGGGGCTGTTCACGCCAGGATCGCTCGTGCAGGGCGCCAGGGAGGACAAACGGGGGGGGGGGGGGCACACTCATAAGAATTACGTTGATTTAAGGTTACTATGATAAAATAAAAAAAAAAAAATAAATGAGCGTTGCGGAGCAGGAGACAGTAGAAAGAAAAATAACAGTGACTTGCTAAAATGATGATAAGACAATAAGTAGTGGTGGTGGAGCTATAGACGATGGTAATAATGATGGCGATAGTGATGATGACGTCAACGATAAGGATCACTGTGATTATAATATCAACAAGAAATAATATTGATAATAAAAACATAATGATAATGATGACAAAATGGTAATGCTCATGATAAAAGTGATAATAAGAACAAATTAATGGTAATTACAGCAATGATAATGTTAAAAGAAAATGATAATGACCATAAACATGGTGATAATGATTAATATAATACGGATAACAATAATGATGATAATGATGGTGGTAGTGAAAATAAGAATAATAACAGTAATAATGGCAATAATGTTAATAATAAGAAAATAATAATCATTAGTATCATCATCATCATCAGTGTCTTGATAATAGTAATAAAAGTAGTAGTAATGATAATAACAATAATGATAATAATAGTGATGATAGTAACAATAATAACCGCAATAATAGCACCAACAACAAAAGCAATAACGACAAGAAAAAATCACACCAATCTTTTCTTTCGCTGCTGTGTCTGGCCCTTGGAACGTCCTTGAGAACTGCCCCAAGACGGCGATGCGGACGAGCAGAAACAGTAGCATTATCCTCTCCCCAAAGATTTTTTTTCCCCTGTGAATCACTTAAAGAAAAAAAAAGGGAGCTTGTAGTACTTGATTGTGTTTCTTTATTTTAGGCAGAAGACGGCGATGGCAGTGATTATTGATATCTGAATAGTCTTTCACTAGTTTTGGCGTGGAAATTTTGCCTAACAAGCAGTTTTCATTATGTTTTCATTGTTATTGGTGGGTTTGCTAATCCATTTTTTTTCTATTCTACTTATGAAGAACTATTATTTCTTTTCACCTTTAGGAAATTTTTATTTGGCAGACGATCAATCTTTTTCTTCTTCATAAACTTCTTCATTTCTGCGGCCTAAAATCCTGAAACTTTAGATTAGGTTGCAACTTACCCACATACTTTTATGGGTCTTGTGTGCACGGTCTGAGTAACTAAAGAAGAAAAAAAGTAAACTCATCATTATTTATTCTACAGAGACAGCCTGAGGAGCAAAGAGGTTTTAGAAGACTTGCAAAACGACTCACAACGACAGAAATATGAGGTGGATTCTGGCAGCGGTGGTTGTGCTGGGGGCGTCTGTGTGGGAGGCAACCTCACAGTGCCTCACAGACGAAGACAGGTAGGTTAGACAAGTTCACTAAGATAATGAGTGAGTTCTTTTAAAGTTCAACAATCCCTGTAACGACTATGATCTAACTGAATAAAAAAAAAAAAAAAATAAATAAATAACAATAATAATAATAAAAAATAAAGTAAACGAGGAAAATCATACAAATATTACCCTCTTCAGGATAAAAATCTTGGGAGTCAATCAAGAACTAAACGAAGTCGTAGATTTTGGCCTCGAGCTGTACAAGGAGTTGGAGCTCGGACAAGCCACCTCCTACCTGGCCACCGGGAGGAACCTGTTCTTCTCGCCCTACAGCGTCTGGTCGGCCCTCGTCCTCGCGTACTTCGGCTCGGGCGGGACAACCGAGGCCGAACTCCAGAAGGCGCTCGGGGTGGTCGACAAGATCAATATTCTGACGAAGATGCGTGCACTCGAACTCACGTGAGTTTTGGAAGGGAATGTATAGGACAAAATGCGGATAAATTGACAGATAAAGAAAAGGGAGGAAAGCAGAAAAGGAAAAATTGAAAGGGGTATTTTTCATTGGCCTGACTCTCTATTGCACTCCTCACAGGTACGACTTGCGGCGCTCCACCGGTTCCAGCTACATATTCAACGTGGCCAACCGCTTTTACATCGACGCCGCCTCGCCCGTTCGGAAGTGCGTCAAGAACATTCTCTTCAAGGAAATCGCAGAAA